ATACACTTTTTTCTTCAAGATCCTGTACCTCAAGATTCATCTCGAACGTCTTGAGAGTGCCAACAAGGTCATCGAATCTAATGGTTGTCACATCCTTCGAGACATCAAGTGCCGTGATCATCATGTTGAAGCGCTTTGGAAGAGATCTCATCACTTTCACCACGAGCTTTTCATTCGAGATCGATTCTCCAAGAGAGTAACACTCATTCGCAATATTCATCAACTTGGCCGTGTATGACGAGATATTCTCATTTTCGAGAATCCGAATTGTCTCAAATTTTGCTGCAAGGAGTCGTAGCCTCATTTGACAAACACCCTTCGAACCCTCACAATGATGTTGCAAGGTGTCCCATGCATGTTTGGCAGTAGTGCACGTGCTAATTAAGCAAAACATGTTCTCATCGACCGTGCCAAAAATTGCATTGAGTGCCTTTGAATTGAAATTGGCCAACGAGCTCTCATTCGTATTGTACTCAGCTTCATTCTTCTCGTGTTTCACCCCTTCAACTTCTACGGAGGAGGCTCCCATCTGGAAAGAACAGATAACCAAGCGTGTCCATCAATGGATTTAATGTTGGACGTCATACGCATCTTCCAAATGGTGTAATTTGAGCCATTGAGAATCGGAGGCCGAGAAAGCGAAGTTCCGGTGAAATCCATGTGTACCTATCAAGACAGAATCACACTTATTAAATTAAGCGACCTTCTCTGATACCACTTGTTAGAATTTTAGGTACGCAAATATCCAGATTTCACAAGAAAATCAGAAATTAAAATACGCAGCAGAAAATAAATAAACACGGAAGAGAATTCAAAATTTAGCCTACAAGTAAATCACTTGTAGACTAAGGTAACATGCCAAAATTTCACTAGAATAAAATAATCACAATTTTTTTCATCCAATCTGAAAACATCTAGTGACTACGAAAAACACGAAACGCGAGTTCGACAATAATATGCTATATCACTTCAAATCATCAAGTAAATCAAAGAGAAAAATAAATATATCATGTTGCTTCTCTTCAAATATTCCAATCACACCATACGCCTACTTGCTCCACTTAGCTTGAATAATTGTATTGCCAAATAGAGAAAACAATTAATGATGTGTTGCTCCTCTCTTTATTTTCTTCTCACGTCTGCTGCTCAAGAATTCTGATTCTTGCCCTGCTCCTGCTATGTATACTTTTATCTTGCCAAATCTCCTTTCCTTTTATCTCTATCTTTTCTAATAGGAATCCTATTACAAGTAGAAGACTTTTTATCAAATAACAAGGAAACCAAATAAAAATAATATACTACCAAAAATAAAAACTAATATATTGATATATGTACAAAAATAAATCAGAAAAGCAAAATAAAAAATTAATAAAAAAATGATTTAACAGTTTTTTTGGAAAAAAAAAAATGTTTACATGTTTTAAGATGTTTTGATGTAATATATATTTATATCTTCCGCCATGGTGCCATTGTTTTGTGGCCTTCTATCATGACTCGCCATCTGCCATTGAGATATCATTGAGTTAAAATAATAGTACTTCATTTCTTGTTCTTTTTTACCTTAATATATTTTATTGGACTAGGTGGTGGAGAGGGTGTTGGACTGGATCATGAAGCTCTTCCCTGGAGGACCATCAAGAAGGCGACCCGACAAGCACCTCTGATTACATAAATGTTCACTAGTTTTTTTGTGCAGTTATTCTTTTGTCCTTGTTACCTCTAAATGGAACCTGGAAATTTTCACACTGATAGAGTATTCTATTCGTTCATATATTTTATCAGAAGAGGGAACATAAAACATGTCCTTTTCTGTAAGGATTTGAAAATAGAAAAATGTGAGTCACATTGTCTTTTCCGACTTTCGCCATCACAATTCACCAAGTGACTTGTATTTCTAAGAATTTTTTTCAAGTCCTTCATATCCTACTACCTGGGACATTTGTCCAAGCGGGAAGTCTGCTGTTGAAGTGAGAACCTTTCCCAATGTAATGTTTGTCAAAATAGATATTCAATTTTTATTAGTTTCAAGTGATTATTTTCTGCATTCTTTTATTTTTTGGGATTTTTGATAGTATGCCCTTCTATTCTGTATTAGAATACAGACGTCAACACACATTTGGGGAACTAATGATTTTACATTTTTAGTCTTTTAGGTTTGACAATGTCGATCGAATTCCCAGTTTCTCGATTGAGAGTATGCTTAGCAAGGTCATCACAAAAAGATGTACATGCTAACTAGGTTGATAGGGTATTTCTGAACTCAAATGCATATAGCTGGATTACACATGATTTATGCGTGTCATCCTTGCGCAAAGGTCATGCTAATCTTCTCTGTATCGTTCCAATTTTATCGGATGTCCCCGAAGGGACGTATGCATGATCCCAAACTAAATCCGAACAGAATCTGAACCATCTTTAGTAGTTTAATTAGAACAATTAACACAAAACACAGATGACGATTCTTTGGATAGTTTTTTTGGCTCTAAAATAAAGTCAACCTTCTATACATATCAATATCAAATAAAAGATACTATATTTTCTAATTTGATAAAAAAAAAATGCAATTAACAACTACTTGATAAAAAATTAATCGCAATAAAAATGTAAAAACACTTGTTTTTATTTAAAATAATAATAATTTGAAAAATAAACACTACAATAAATTTGTAATATTACAAAACTTCTTTGAATTAAAATTAATAAAATTTGTACAACTAAGTAGTTTCTATAATTTGAAAAAATATTACAAAGAGTAGTATTTTTTGTTTTTTTTTTTCAAATTGAAATTTGAATATATAAGTGCTTGTATTTTTCATTGGATGCTTATTTTATCTATTAAGTAGTTGATTGATTGCAATTTCTAACTAATTAGAAAATATGTTATTTTTGAGGTTGGTTCCACAACTCCACAGCAAACTAATTTAACAGTATAGTAGGACTACAAATCAAAATATGGGCAGTTGAAGTTCTTTTTTTAAAAAAAAAAATAAATAAAAAAAAATTAAAAAAAAATTATACTGCATCATTCAAGAACACATCCTCCATAGACGAAGCTGACATCAGATATCGTGCTCTATAAAGAACGACACAAGTCGTAGTTCGTTTCGTATGGTCACTTTTTTGTACAGAATTTGTCGTCATTACAATGTTTTATCAAGTAAACCTTTTCATATAGACAACTTCTGATCTGCCGGTTGAGACCCTCCAACAGCCTGATAGCTCGATCTCACATTCTGACATTTATGCAACAAACGACGTAAATAATAAAGATTAACAAAAATAAAACAGAGGTGAAAAGCAAAGAAGCAACAGTACCTCCAGCAGTGTAATGTAGTAGAAATCCTCCATATGCTGCATCAGAGCACTTCCATCTCTGATCGACCGGAAAATGTTGATTTCTGTATTTAATATATTCTCAACGAGTTCTTTCTCACCTTTCATCTGTCAGCAACATTTAATATATAATAATGGCAACATCTGGGCTTTTTGCAAATAACCAAACTACTTCATAATCAGGAAAAAATACCA